ATAATTGATTATAAAAATAGTTTTGACCTACAGACCTCAAAAAGAAGTGTAAGGGGATTCAGGTATTTCCAGATACATTTTGATATCTGGTGTCTTAAAGTATATCATTGGCAACTTAGCTTACCCTGTCTCAAAAATAAAATAGACCTGGAGTGTAGTTCAGTGATAGGAAAGGACTACGGTATATATAGCTCAGTGGTAGAGCACCCCTGGTTCACTCTCTAGTACCTCGCCACACAGTATTAAGTGTATTTCTTTGTGATTATATACTGTTAGACAAATATAGTGAAACGTCATAATATTCTCAAATCATCTAAAATACTTCATTTAACTAAGAAGACATGTTTATTTTAAAAAGTTATGTATAAGAAAAAATAGGCAGAGATAACCTAGTAGACAGTAAGCCGGATGCAGTGGCACATGTCTGTAATCCCATCAACCCAGGAGGCTAAAGCAGGAAGGGGTTTGAGGTCAACCTTAGCAACTTTCTTAAAAATCAAATTTTTTTAAAATCAAATTTTTAAAAGGGGGCTTAGGGATGTAGCTCAGTGGTAGAGTACCCCTGGGTTCAACTTCCAGAAAAAAGAAGGAAAAGGTGAACAGAACAAATAAGATAGAATATAGTTATATGCAGTATCAATTATGGTAATCTTAAATATTGTATGGAATTTAAAAACCATGAACATGTAGGAAAATAATTTTTTTCCCAAGAAAGAGTGGTCTGTATATCTGGATTTGAAATTGTATTCCCAAGGAGATATGATCAAAATGGAAAAAGTAGATTGATTGATTACTCTAAGAACCTTATTAATAATAAAAAAAAAATTAATAACATGATGGGATTAAATCTCATTTGATAAATTTTTTTTTCTTTCAGTTGGCTTCATTGTTCTAACTTTAATATATACATCCTTACATTATATATGTGTATATTTTTAAATTAATAATTCTACTTTTGGAGATTTAAACCTAAGAAACTTTATAATGAAGTAAACTAGGAATACTTTTTCCCCCCACAT